TGCAAAATGCAAAGTTTCTGAATCAATCCTGAGACATGAAGGTAACTAAGAGTGGAGCGGCATCTTATGCCCAAGTATGGGCAAAGGTGACTAGGAGGACAGAGGTATCGTCTTCAGTCATCTTGCAGCCAGGGAAGACGGGCAGTTGGATCGGTTCGAGTCAGCGACCGCCTAAGCTTTTTAACTGTCTGATGACTACACCTGATTTTATCCAGAATGATGTGAAATGGGGCTGATGAGCTGTCGATGGGTGAGGAACGGGAGCATCTTTCAAAGTAAAATTTGGACAAAATAGCTCAACAAAAAAGGAAATTAAAGTGAGACAATAGGCAGAAAAACACTTCTCTGATGATTGGCCTTTGAAAGAACTAGAAAGACTTCTTCTCGTCTTGGACTAATTCAGGGTTTCCGCTTGACAAGAACTAGAAAGACTTCTTCTCGCCCCAGATCTATTCAGGGCTCCCGCTTGACATCGATCGATCCGAACGTACCACATTTTGTTGCGATGCTGCTTACAATTAGTCAGAACTACCAAGTCCTGCTTCAGGTAATTTGATGACACGTCTGAAGAGAAAGCATTCGGAAGACGTTGGGTTCAAGGAGTCATCGCATGGTATAAACCCACCAGGAAGCATCAGGGCGATTGAGGAAAGTAGGATGCAAGATGTGCTTTAAAACAATTCGATAACTTGGGGAATCGACTTCTCCTGTTCTCTTAACATACTGGTCTTACATACAACTGAGAGACTTGAACTCGGGCAAGCAGGTGAGCGCTATTCAACGCACGTAGTGGAAGGGACAATGGTCGAGTAACTCGATACAGAGACGATCGAAAATCAGAGGCGTTACCGCAACTCCCGAATGTTCGAGGACCAGGATAGGCAGAGCATGTCGTGAGCGACTTCTGGGCCAGAACGAAACCCTGAATCCCCACAAAACATCTCCGTGGGAAAAGTGCATGGAAGAAGTAATCTTCCGCTATTCTCAAAGAACGGAGGCTTCACAGGACTACAAGGGCTCATGACCAAAACGGAATCAGACCAAACTGATCAAGGAAACTGATGATCAACTGGGCGATAGGGTATGCAGGTGGTGAATCCAATTAACTTCGTAAACGCCAAAGATCAACTGGCATTCTAGCGATCAGTGTCACAACTGACACCTATCAGTCCGGTGATCACAAGAAACTGGATAAGCCAACGAAAAAAACTTGACGTATTGTCCGTAATAGGGTGGCTCCACAATTTCTTTTTGTGTTTTCATAAAGAAAGCCTAATTTTGTGTTCTGTGCCTGAGATCCGATCTGAAAAAAACCCGGTGGATAACTAATCCGGTTTAAAACCGGTCGGAAAATCAGCGTCACCAAAAACAGAAACGAGCAAAAGAAGAGAGATGATGATGAATAGAAGAAAGCTTGTCAGCACTGCTTGTAGCTGATCCCTACAACGTCTACATCGCTAAGAACAAACTTCTACAGACACAGCTGCGAACCTTCACAGAATAAAGTTTTTTGGCGTTAATCAAACCGTTTCTGGGATGCTCTCCGCTTTCGACTTCCATACAGAATCATAAAGGTGGTTCGAATGGGTATGTGGCTTATACAATGACCTAGATGGCTAGCCAATGTACGGATTGATGCTTTTGGCCTCCCAAACGAGTTTGCCACCCCATTAAGCAACTTTGAAGGAGTGGAAGGAGTGATTAACGAAGATTTGTACTGATCTGGAATTCGATCCCCGGATTACGCGTACGATGGTGCGGTCCACTTACCACTACACCACCACAGTCATGAGTATAAGGGTATCACCTGTCGGCCCATTGATCATCGATTTCCTTGTGCTGACGCCAGCGACGAGTCCATTCGTCCTTGTCGGACGGACGGACGGACGAAGTGGTCCAGTGGATCGTCCTTGCCAAGGGGCACGATGCTTAGCATTTCCTTTGTTCATAGCTGTCGTGAAGTCTGACCATCGCTGGCGGACGTTCTGGCGTTTGTTTGATGTCCCGAGGGAACCAGAAAGATATTGTTTAACAGGATAGTGGGTGAAGAATTGAGGGTATTTCACACCAGTTCTCAATCCAGTGATGACCAATTTTTTCTTAGAAAGTGCAGGACAGAAAAACCTCTTCAAAGTTGATTCTGAGGTGCGCCATCCATAAGATTTCAAATTCTGTCAACTGGATGCACTTAAGATATAACATTTTCTCAAGCCATTGTTCATACTCGAAAAAGACACTTCTACTCTTCAACGCAGGCATTCATCCGAATAGCCGATTTAGCGGATTAGGCGGTTGTTCGAATAGAAATTGGCTCCTCTGGAGGTTCCTCTACCAGCTTCAGGCGCGTAAACGAATTCACCTGGAGATAAGTGGGAAGGAGCGGGTTCCTTTAGTAGGCCCATTTACCCGAGTCCAGCCAGTTGTTTTTACAGGGAATAAAACATCCTTCGTCTGCTTCTCCATCTTCAGAACGGCCTCTCATTAATGAATGATTTATGCCTTACCAAAGATGGCTTCTTCCAATCCGGATCCTTCATCTTTCTATTGGCATTCATTTGGATGCAATCTCAATCTGATTAAATTTCCACTCAAAATTTTGCCAGGTTGCCTTCTGATTCATACTCAATTCATGACAAACAGGCCACAAAGACAGTTGTCTATCACCTAGGGCCACTTCCTGTTTAGGTTTGACCGCCTTACCGCTTTCTGAGAAACGATCCATTAGGGTCATTTATCTGGTTGATAGCTCGCTGACAAAGAGCAGACTTAATTCGAATGCAATATTCACAGTAAATTATAGCGTAACGGGCAGAGGTGGGTAGTGACAAGAGGAGCACTTCACAGGCGTCGTCATGGGCTCGAATCCCAAATCATATCCGTCTAAGCCAGCAAAGCCTTCCATCCCTTCAGAGTTGGTAGCAGACTCGTCTGGGAGGATAAAAGCACTGACTTGTACATTGGCTGACCACCGCAAGCCATTGTATAGGCCACATACACATCCAATAAGCCACTACGATTTGGAATTGGAGTTGAATGCGTAGGTCCTCTGAGGGATTGATTAATGCCCCAAGACTTGATTCCCTATTGTTCATACCGTAACACCTTCCTTCAAGCACGGTGAGAAAGGTACTGTATCGTTCTAGTGGCTCTAGCCACCCCGCCGACGAAGATTAGAGCCGTTTCAGGGTGCCGTTTGATCTCCTGTTCCACCCTTGAGCATGTGACGCCCACCAACTGTAAGCCATCGGACAATGATTGATGGTATGTCAACATGCATGGGAGATAAGAACAAAAGAATCGAATCGAAAACAATCTAGACAGTTCATTGTTTTCATGCCATTGGATAAACATTCATAAGAAATCGTTATTTCGTTGTTGCAGTGTAACTCGTCCAGTTGCCATCTGCGAGGCGGTTCGGACTCTTCTGTTCTCAGGAACTGTTCAGATGATTCCTTGCCCGTGGAGCTCCTTGCTTCTTCTTGCTTCAAATAATCCTATGCAGCACTCGAAATGCCAACGATTTTAAACAAAAGGCGAATGGTTGGCGCAATCCACAGGGGGTCGATGCAGACCTTGAAGGGCCCACAAATATTGTCTTCATTACAATTTCTGAATCATACAAAACGTGAGCAGATTGGTGGCCACCAAGTCCCGAAGTTTCCTTCCGGAAGCTCCCACATGGTGTTCCCGAATCTTAGCTACTTTTAATGTCAAGATCAAGAACACCAAATATTAAGTGCTCTCACAGACTCCGCCCATTTGATGGACCACGCCCTTCGCTCCTCATTCACTGTAACCTTGCATGCAAGCAAAGCATTCATTTGTGAGTATATGACTTGTATGTCGCCTCGTTCCGCTCAGTTGCAGTAGGCAAAGGAATTCACCAGCCACTGTGGAGGGGTGGCCTTCAGGTTAGCATCGGAAACGTGTTTGTATAATAGGCAATAATTCGAAGAAAACAATTCGTCGTTTTAATTGTGACCTTTGGGATTGACGAAAAAGGGAAAAAAATCCTGAGAAAATGGGAAATATACGGGCGGCCTCGTTCTGCCGCCAGCGTTATAGCGTGTGTATGAGATCGTAAATACGAAAAAGTTTTCCAGCTGTTAGAAAAAACGAAATGCGGCGACCAGCAATCAGATTGATCGTTCTCATCAAGACGCCATGATTCCATGGTAAAAACCTCCACTTAGGCCGTCGTACGACCAAACTGAAAAACTGTCTGGGCGACGTTGTCACCTGCTCATAAAGCAATACACTCTGGACTGTCATATCCAGCAACCAAAGACGATCTCATTTCGGCTTTGATAATCGCTTTGACAGCGTGTTGAACAAGCAATGAACAAAGGCGAATCATTAAAGAAGAGTCGAAAAAAATAGATCTTGATCAGTATTATCTCAGAACAAAAAGCTCTTGGAACTGGAAAAAATCAAAAAAAGGAAAAAACTGATTTTACAAAATATAGAGGGCAAAGAAAAAAGGTTCGTGCATAGCTGAGATTCTGCGGACGGGGTGGACCACCATGTCCAGTCATCGTCGGAACTTACCAGTTAGGTCTTCCCAGACTAGCGTGATACCAATTATCCATTCGTTTTCGAAAGGATATTACTTGTAGGCCCTACAGTAGGAAGGCTCTGTGGAGTCTACAAAGAAAATTCGTGGGAGGCGGATATTAAAAGAGTAAGGGGTAGGTAGAAGGTGAACAAGTACGAAAAATAGGAGGGTTCAGCATTCGGATAGAATGACCATGACCTTTCCGAAAGAGGTGGATGTTGCAGGTATTCCATGAGCAAGATTAGGTTAATTACGTCGTTAGTGGTGACAGCTAACCTGATTTCAATCTTTCAGCATTAACTTTGATCACAGATTTTTCAAGCCTTCAGCCTTTTAATCGGAGAGCTCTTTAACTAGCAGTCGATCCATCAGATCAAGTAAAAATCCGACTGTGAATTGGCATGATTATCAGGCAACTTGCACTACAGGGGTTCGAAGGAAATCGTACAGAAGTCTTGGTGAAATATCTCGTCAGATGATCTTGGAAAAATAGGAAGTAAATAATAAACAAAACAAAAAGCCTGTCTGCGAAATGTTGGGCTGTCGTCGCCTTTTCCAGACCTTCTCACAGTTTTCTTGAGGTTTCATTGAGGTTCCATTGAATAAAACTCACAAAAACGAATTTTAGACGAACATAACTGTAAATGCACAGAGGCTTACACATAGCTACAGTACCAGCCTGTGAGGACGTTTTTGAAAAATTGAACGATTGATTGAGGAGAATTGAACGGAAGAGATATATCCACACTGAGTAAGCGACGTTCCATTTCTCAAGCGATTCCTGAAAGAATGAGATATCGATGAGACAAAGCAAATATCGTTCGTTGATGATTCACGGAACGTCCATTACAACGAATGTAGACGGCATATTGTAAGTTGCAGACAGAACATTACGAATGTCCACAAAAAAAAAACAAAAAGAATCAGATAGTCGAGTGGTCGTTGAGACGTGCATGACCATCAAAGGGGGAGCTTCATAGCTAGTTCAAACCCTATGACTGGAGAGGTGAAGAGGTGGAGAGGCTTGGACCGGAGCACAAACAGGTCCCATTCCCGGTGAATAGCCGTTTAGAACAAGTTTTAAAATCACATGTAAGCCATATAAATGGATACAAAGAAAGACATCACAAAAGGTTCGTTTAGCAGCTTCTGGAACAAATGAGATCGTTACGATTCCGCTCCTGAATTTGGCCAAATCGTCGCCTACGCTGAATTGCCCAGGGAAGGCAAAAAATAAGAGAACGAATGTTTAGTCCTGCATCATTCTGAACAGGCCGTGTTGGAAGGTTACACTCACGTGAATCCAAGTGATAAAGTTCTCAGGCATCAATAAAGCTTCCTCTAGCATGTGCTCTAACATTCTACTCCCAATCGGAATCGTGCTGGCGTTTTCAACTCGTATGCGGCCTATACAATGACTTGTGGTGGGCAGCTGATGTACAAGTCAGAGCGTTTATCCTATCAGAGTAGTCAGGTACCAGTTGACTGACCTTAGAGGGAAGGACAGCTTCGCTTTCCTGAGCGGGTGACAGCCCAAGATCCTATTCCTTAATCATGTGTGAGTATGAAGGTAGAGCCACTAACCACTACCGAACCCCACCCTCATCACCTAGTTATCGCTGCATATCACCTAGATAAGGTCCCGCACAAAGTCGAGCTCCGACCGCCGTTCAAGCTAGCGCCTTGCCTATGAACTATTAATGAAACCGTAAAAATAATTGGAAGTGTGACTACATCTGACGACGACCTTGTTCGATCAGTCAATGTCACAACGGCCTTCTTCAGAAGTGAAGAAGGAAAAGAAGGCTGCGGAATAGCTTGAACAGAAACGCAGCATGACTGCAAGTAAGGAGTTGGAAATTGCTATGCGAGGTGTTACCGACTAATATGAGGTTCCTTGGGTGACTGGTGAAATCCTAAAGTAACATCATGTCCAACTGAACCTTCGAGATTGATAACACCGCAATTCTATCGACGACCGATCGCCTTTTTTGGAACTGTTTCACAGGATGTGGGGATGGATATCAATCGACAGCTTCATTTGCGAAAAAGCTCTGGGAACGACGTTCTCTGTCGGAACTTCAGTGTTCGATCAAGTTGTTCCATTATCAATTTCAAGGTCTCGGCTCGACATGAAGCACAGAAAATATGCCTGCGAAAACTGTTGATCATGTTGGCCTAACGTGGTAATTTTCCAAGGAAAAGTTTATTTGTTTATTAAACTTCAAGTTCTCTCATCTTGAAACCTCGGCATTTCTATTTGTTTATTATTTAATCATTCAAACACACCTCAAAGCAGATGTGTTTTATTCTTTCACCGCGATTCGTTGAGCAGATCTACGACAGATAAGTTCCGTAGAATCGAATAAACCAAATTTCACGATTCGGAATCGTGAATAGCGATAAAAGAAAAATAAACGCGATGAGAACAAGAAAATACTCATCAAGAAAGGGATGATTTTACAAGCAATATAAATATTTTTCCATAAAAATTAAACCATAAGGTTAGTCTTCTCTAGGTAACGGACCTCCTGGTGCAGCCTCTCAAAACCAGAGCAAAGGCTCCAGGCTTGAAAGGTTTGAAGCAACAACTGACCACAAACCTGCACCCCCCGTCTATCCAGTTCCAGTAGTGATGAGATTTCACGTGGTGACTGCTACCCCCATAATTGCTAATCCGCTCCGTAGTCATTTTTAACTGTAAGAAAGCTATCATTTGCCATAAACTGGTTATCCAAAACCTGTTCGAATTGGTCACGCTGTAACCTAAGTAAACAGTCAGTGTTTCAAAGTGGTTTTTGTTGAAAGTGGTAGTCTTATGATGGAACAAAAAAAAAATTCTGCACTTCTCCTGCAGCATCCAGACGAGAGAAGAAACAATTGAAAAACGTAAAAACCAGTACAACGTAGGATGCGGAGGAGAAGCTTACTCTACATTGCCCAAACATGCCCAGAACAAGTAAGCCTTCAAAGCCTTCATACGAACAACCACCTTCCTTC